GGGAAAGAGAATTGTGTCCTCAGTCTATTATAAGTTTTGCAGCTAGCAAATGTGTATATTTATAAGGATTCAGCTGCTGTCTCAAGATGGCTGGCGATCATTTTTGTATCAGACCACTAAATTTCATCTCTTGATCTCACAGAGCAGTAACAATAGGCTCCTCTGCGGTTTTGGTTTGGGGTTTGCTATTGTATTCTGGTTTTAACTGTTTTTAAAAAATATTATTGAAAAGGTGGCGTATAAATGTTTTAATAACTAACTGTGACAGACTGCACCTTTAAAAGCTTAGAAATGCAGTGTAAACAGATAAAGGACTGTAAAGAGTTAATTCTTCACAGAAGCCAAAGAACCTTGAGTGACAGGCTGCTCTAAGCAATCTGATTGGTTATCAGCTGAGAAGAAAAAGTATTGAAAGAGCTGCATGCTGAGGGAGTCAGTTAGATTTGTGAATTCAGTCCGATTTCAGTCTTAGCTGAGAGCAGACACAGACAGGAGAAATGGGGAAAGTTGACAAGGAAGTTTGGAAAGTAGACAAAGACTCTCATTTGGGTCAAGGAAAGGGGATAGATCTTCTAGACGGAGAAGAAAATTTCCTATCCAGTCAAACAGGGTTACCTCCGAAGAGTGCAGAGATCCCTGGTCTGGTGTGGTTAGAAACTGCCTTTAGAAACCTTAAGAGTCAGTTAAAAACTCAAGATGAGTACTAGTGTGTGATGACCTCCTTTTTCTGGAGGACTGGTTTCTCTTTAAAAGTGTTCTTTGGCTCCGGTCACACGGGCAGGAAACTGTGGGGGGGAGCGTGGCTGTTTGCCCTGGGGCAAACTAACGCGTGGTTAAGCGATCAGACCTCCTGTGGAGGTTCCGTGGGTAGGGAGAGGTGCCGATCACAGGACACGCCTGCGCTCAACAAAGAAGCGCGCGGTGCGGCAAACTGCTTTTCTTTTTTTGTGTACACGACAAATGCGCATGCTCCGTTGGGTGCGTGTGCGCATCTATGGAGACTTGGGGGGGGAACCTTTTCCACAAGGGGACATGGGCGGGTGCCGGATGCCATCGGAAACGTGATCAGACGCCCGCCCTTGCCCCGCAGTTTCCGGAAACTAGTACCTCCGAGGTACTAGTTTTTTGCTGCGTGTTTTCGGCGGGAAGCCTCGGTTGTGCCACGGAAGCGCTATGCTTCCCAGATGTGCTGGTGAAATCGCGCCCAGAAACTCCGCCTGTCTTCCGTCTCTCTTGCGTGGCTAATGTTCCATGTGACCGCAGCCTTTATTTTGTTTTACTGGGTATATACGGCTGCCACCAGGAAATTTTAAGGATTTCCAAACCTTTATACTTTTACTTCTGCTCTTACTGGTTAGGTAGACTGAGTTCAAAGCTTATGAGGGACTACGTGGTCCTGGGAAGTATTTCTTCAGAGCTGGTATACTTGAATGAAATAGGATTTATTGAAATAAAGCATAAATAAGAGGGTAGTACAATGTAACTAGTAATGTGTAAATACTGAACAATTGCTTTGGTATCCCACACAATTTTCTCTCTCACTGACAGGGATCTTTGCATGTAACTTTGTAACACTTGTTTCTCTCAAGGCCAAATACGTTTACTTTTTCACTCCAGTCTGTCACTCAGACTTTCCTATAACTTTTGTTCAATTAAACTTTACTGTTTCCTAGACACTCAGCTTCAGCTTATAACTGTTTCAACACAGAACTGCTTGTCTCCCCTTTCACACACAGAACTCCCTGAACTTCACAACTGTCAAACCTGTAACTGTCAAACCTGACTGACATACATACTCATCCACTCATTTTCACTTCCAAAACCCCTCCCCCTCTCTGTCAACCACCAATCATACCACACTTGCCTCTCTCAACCATTCTAGTCTATCTTCCACAGCCATGCAACCAAACTTTTAAAGAGACACATACACACACAAACAAGGAATCGTTACATAGTGTTTCAAGAGAAGGGGTTTGAGTATTGGAAAAGTGTACCAGCCTTCTGGAAACCAAACACCTTGAGTGATTTAAGTTGTTTAAGTTAAAGGGGGTTTCTGATCCTTCCCTCAAGTTCCTGGCCTGAGCCAACAGCCAAAATATTGTACTGTGACAGGGTAGGACAGCCAGAGTTCTTTGGCAAAGAACACCAAACATTACAAGGGTGGCTCAGTAAAGGGAAAGAAAAATGGAGGGAAAATCTTGCCTCTGAGAGGGGGAAACAGGGCCGGCCCATCATTGACAAATTTTAGACCGTCGCCTAGGGCGCCGGCTCAACAAGGGCACCACTCTAGCCTGCCTGCCGCCCCACCTTCCCCTCCCTTCCCTCGCCTTGTGCCCTGAGTCTCCTTCACTGTGGAATGCTGAAGTGTACCTTACACGAGGGAAGAACACACAGACTGACACCAGCAACCATGCGTGCCCTCACACTAGCGTGCTCCCCTTCTGAACCAATGAAACCCGTAAGTGTGCTTCCTTAGCCGTCGAAGGGGGCTCACCTCCTGACATCTCACGTGCACCTCTCCAGTGGGAGGGGCAGGGCAAGATGGAGGGGAAGGGGGGGCATGGCAAAGGCTGCATTCCCGCCGGTGGAGGAGGCAGGCGGGTGCTGTGAGGCTGCTCCCTGTCAAACCCACTTCTTTCCTCAGAGGGCACCCCCCCACCCAACAACAGAACACACATGCAC